TTAATTGTTACTAAGGTTGCTTGCTGAAACCTCTTAACGACTGCTGAAACTCTGCCAATTGTCAAAATTTTTAAATGCAAAAACTCTAATAAACAATTAATGTGTAACCTGCCAAAATTCTGCCAATTGATTTCTAGAGTTTTGGCAAGAAACCATAATTGTTACATACTTATATTATCTTAATTATCTATATGTACATATTAACTGAATAAGATTCCGCACTTGACAATTTTCACAAACATGTGACAATAAAAATTTTATTGTAAATTTTTCTCAAAAACTGTTGCTGTGGCACATAAAGTTGTATTAGTATTAGTATTAGTATTAGTATTAGTATTAGTATTAGTATTAGTATTAGTATTAGTATTAGTATTAGTATTAGTATGTAAATTGTAAAATTCGGATGATCGGCTTAAAAATTTCCGTGATACAGAAAATTTCTCCAATAAAAGAAATATGAAATTTAAAATTTCGGACTGTGACGTTTATAAGGAAAAATTCGGAAGAACTTTTCTCAATTTGTTTTTTTTTTCCTTAACTAAATTGTATATACCATGACAAAATTGGCGCATATGTTTAATCCAAACATTGATTCACGTGCCTGATGGTTGATTATTTTAAAGTAAAAATTATACAGTGTTGCAAAAAAAAATGGCGGGTTGCATTCTGGCTAAAAAAGTAATCTGATTAAAATGTAACATATTATTATGTAGACTTTGGAACAATTATTATGTGAATTATTTTATTTTAATTGATAAAGTTCCAGAAAAGCCGGATACGTGAGATTTTATAATTTTCAGTACTTTAGCTACAAATTGATCCAATTTTTACTATTGTTATTAATTATATGTTTTTTGTTTAGTCAATACGTTTGGGGGTTTCCGATACTTTTCGGCACAAGCCAAAAAATTTAGTGATGTCTAAAAAAAAGATATAAATCGGCTTTACAAAAAATTGACAATAATAATAGTATCAAATTCTATAGGATTTTTCACAACACATTGTATATTATTATTATCATTGATATTACCTGTTGGCCTCAAAAGGAAAAATTTGTATATAATTAGAGATTGATTGAAAAAAAAATAAAGATCAATTCAATTTCAATATGAACATTTAAAAATAAAAAAGCCAACATACTTCTCAGTAGCAGGAATAATGGATAATTGGAGTGGGGTAAAATATACTGTCATTTTTCGTGTAAACGGGATTCATTTGTAAGATGTGGTACACATCAAACATAGATAAATAAATAAAAAACCTTACAATGGATGTTTTTTATTTACTTTATTTATTATATAGTGTAACACTAAACAGGTTGAATAACAATATATTTCAGTTTTACTATTACAAATAGGAACCTCTAAAATTATATAAAATCGGTAATAAATACTATATTAATAATGTTAGTCGAATTTTTTCAATAATAATAAGAGAGAAAAAAAAAGTATCTCCATTAAATGTATTAGAAAATTTTTTGGCAAAAGAAAAAATAACATTAATTATATATAAAAGATGTCTCATACACCTCGCGAATTAAGAACACCAACGCCTTACGATTTTAGTAAGTCTTGCTGTTTGTATAAATTAAAACCATTTTATACAATTTGATTATTTAATTGGTTCATCTCGATAGGTTCTAATCAAAGTGATGACGATTCAGAAATTGACGAATTAACTCCTCTTACCTCCACAAGAAATGGTAAATCATCTGAAATTTTAATAATTAATCTAAACATCCATATTTATATTCATCAATGAAATTTCCAATCAACCAATTATTTAATTGAATGATTAATTCATCTTTTTTTCTTTTTAAAATCATTTTCCTCGTCATCATTCAAATAATAGATACCAAGTCAAATTTTTCATGGGCAACGTTTAGAACTAGACTCAGATATTATGTACCAGTATTTAGTTGGATGCCAAGTTATTCGTTGAATACTTTTTGGGGTGATTTTTTTGCAAGTTTGACTGTTACGGCGATTTTACTGCCTTCAGGTTTATCATTTTCTGTGTTGGCAAAATTGCCTCCAGTACATGGATTGTATAGTATTGTGATTCCAGGAGTCATCTACTCATTTCTTGGTACTTCAAGGTGTGAATTATATGCATTTATTTATTTATTTTGATTTATTCATTCATTTACCCATTTATTCATTTTAAATATCCCTAGACAATTGGTTATTGGACCAGAAGCTCTAGTGGCAATGCTTGTGGGGTCATCAGTAGCACAACAACAACAGTATTTAGACAAAGAAGATGACGCAAGTGTTGCAATAATGATAGCATCATTGATAACATTTTTTGTCGGAATTCTGACATTTATTCTTGGAATTGTTAGATTGGGATTTATAGATTCAGTATTATCACGTGCTCTTTTGAGAGGGTTTATTTCAGCAGTGGCAATAGTAATTATTATTGAACAATGCTTAGTTATGTTGAGATTAACTGACTTAAATCATCATGTAGGGAGAGAATTGGGTCATGCATCTTCAACTTTGGACAAATTCATTTATATTGTGAATAATATTGAACAATCACATATACCAACAGCCATTATATCATTTTCTAGTCTTCTATTCTTATTAGTTTCTGGTTCAATCAAAGGATATTTGTCAAAACGATTTTCATGGGTACAATTCATACCTGAAATATTTATATGTGTAATAATTTATACAATTTTATGTTCCATTTTTGATTGGGAAAGTCTTGGAGTAAAAATTCTTGGAAATATTAAAGGAGGTGGATTTCCCAAATTTTCAATTCCAAATCCACCAGAGCCAGCTCATATTATTGATTGTTTTGAGACAGCAATTTTAATCTCGGTTGTGGGATTTGTTGAATCTATAGTTGTCACAAAAACCTATGCCACCAAACATAATTATGCAGTTAGTCCTAATCGTGAATTGGTAGCATTGGGAGCATCAAATTTGATTGGTAGTTTTTTTCAATGTATACCAGCATATGGTGGAATGGCTAGAAGTAGGATTAATGATAAAGCTGGTGCTAAGACTCAATTGTCAGGACTTATAACAGCAATGTTTGTTCTGTTTTGTTTATTCTTCCTGTTACCATTATTCTACTCTTTGCCCAAACCTGTATTGGCATCAATAGTTTGTGTGGCTGCTATCTCTTTATTACATGAGCTACCTCATGATCTTATCTTTATGTATAAAATAAAAGCTTGGAATGATTATGCTTTGCTGCTTTTGACCTTTTTTTCAACAATATTTATATCAACTGAATATGGAACTCTGATATCAGTAGGTTTATCATTAGTGCTTGTTGTCAAACATTCCACCTATCCTCGTATTACTATAATGGTTAGTATGAAATTATATATTATATAATATCAATTTACATTTTTTTAAAAAATTAAAATTAATAAATATTTATATTTAGGGAAGAATTGGCAACTCTAATAAATTTAAACCAATTAAAGATTTTCCAGACCAGGCAGAACATGTTGAAGGGGTTTTAGTGATTAAAATATCTGAACCTTTATATTTTGCTAATACTGGACAACTTAAAGATCGTCTTAGACGTCTAGAAGAATTTGGAGATATGAGTGTTCATCCATCAGAAGATGCAAGAATGTCACCTGTTAAAAATGTGATATTTGATATTGAAACGATGGAAGGGATTGATGCCAGGTTAACATTAAATCATTAAATCATTAAAAAAATATAAAAATGTATTACTAATATATATGTATATGTACATATTTATTTAGTGCTGTACAAATTCTTTTTGAAATAGTAGAGGCGTATCATCTTCGTGATGTAAATGTTTATTTTGTGAAATTACGTCCTAGTCAAAAGAAAATGTTTGAAGGTGCAGGAATCATAGAGAAAGTTGGCAAAGAACATTTCTTCAAGTAAGTATTAACAAATAAAATAAAATATTATTAATATTATTATTATAATTGATTGCACAATTACTGACAATTTGTTTTTTCCTCTCTCTTGTAAAATAATAAAGTCGAATTCCTGATGCATTGGAATACATTAATAATGGTGGCAATAGCTTTAGTGTCAGATACGAATAAATTGATTGAACCGGTCTGAATATTTTCCATTAAAATAAAAAATCAATCAATCAAGCTAATAATAAATAATCAGCAATTGTGATTATAACATTTATAACAATTAATAACAAAAAATATAAAAATGTATATACACATGTAGAAATAATCTTTATTTATTTATTTAATATAAAAATTCTATAGCAACCGCTGAAATTGTTTCATCATCTTTGTAGTGATCGTTTATATACTGTACATAAAGAGTTTTTGCAAAGCCATCAAAAAAATCAAATATCATGTGATACGTTATCATTATCGTATATCAATTCATTATTATTTGTTACCAAATGTTGAAAATGTTCTCACCTTCAAAGGAAATTCATATGAAAGCTTCTTTGAACAAAGACTCGCTCAAACAAAAATTACATGCACACAAAATCACATAATCAAATACGACGAGTTTACGAATGAATGTGCGACATATTTGATTTAAACCTCGTGAATGGTGATACCGAAAGACAAGTGATGTGAGCAGGTCGATTGGAAATCCTGCCCAATGTATTCTCTATTATTCATTAATGACTACAACAAATTAACCAAAAAAGATTATGAAAAACCGCAACAATTAATTACAATGAAATAACGTTGCATAACGATCAAGTTTGTCGCAAGAAACAATTATTGAGCTATATATAAAGGAATTGATGAACCTAATGTAAGTAATCCATTATTTACTTGCTTCACCTCTAGAAGGTACGTACTACCAGGAAACAGGAAGAACAGGTCTGATGGAAATCCTGTTCAATGCGTTCTCTACTATATTCATTCAATGACTACAAACCAACCAAAAAGAGAAAATAAGTCATGCCATCTTAATAAATATTAAAACAAAATTATACAAAATGCCCTCTAATCTAAAAACTTAGTATGGCCTTGTTATTTCAGGCTTATAACACTACAAAGCTAGATTACGATGGAAATTGTTTTACATTACGTATTCAAGTTAGGGTGTTTCAGAATAAATCAGTCAGAGGTCGTCAATGAAACGTTGAATGGAAAAGATGTTTTGGTATTACTGACAACTGGTGGCGAGGAAAGTCTATGTTACCGGTTACTTGCAATGGTAGAAACTGGAAGAACAAAAGGAGCAAGAATTATAATAACCATCCCCGTAGGTAGATCAAAGTTTATATCAACATTATGTTTGTATGGTGAAAAGAAGCTAATGACAGACAAAATCTATCTATACTTTTCTTTATTTGAAATATTTCAATATTTTTTACGCGTCGTCTCCAGTTTAGATTCATATAATAAGAGTGCGTAAGATTCTAGAATTACCTTTATTCTTCAAATTAAAATATCCACGTAAAAATTATCGTTAACGGACGATCTGCACACTTTTTTTTTTTTGAAAAATGAATTCACCAAAAAATACAAAAAATAATAAAATAAATAAAATAAATAATTCAACTTTTAATCAACAACAAAAAAATAATACAACGACTAAGGTTACCACCAACACATCTTCAAACGCTTTTAAAAACAAAAAAAAAATTAATAATGAGCCATCACCAGCTGTAGTACATACAGGAGAAAACATTCGCATAAAAGAACAAAAAAAAAAGATTATTTTCAAGGCAGTATTAGATTCGCCGTATAACATTAAATGGTAATTTTTTTTTATGTGAAGTGAACTAACTGCAAGGGAAAAAATAAATAATTTTATTATTACTATTTTTAACTGAAAAAGGCCCGAGGTGCCAAAACAGAATCAAGAAATTATATTAGAAGAACTTTGCAAGTAAGTTAATATGATATTATGATTATTATAATTATTTTTATCTCTTGATAATTTACTTAATGATTATTTACTTAATGATTAATGATAATGATCATATGGGGGTATACACAGCGTATTATCAATTGTTGGGGAATATAATAAACAGAAAATAAAATATAAAAGATCAAAAAGTAAAAGACCAAAAAATAAACCCAATAATTTAAAGGACTCTAAAACAGCAGCAGCAGCAGCAACAACAACAACTGCTACTACATCATCATCGTCGTCATCAACAACAACGATAGAAGAAGTTAAAATTGAAAGCTTTTCCTCACCAAATCCACCAGAAATTTTATCAGATTTGGTAATTGGAATAAATGAAGTAACGAAATATCTTGAAAAATCAATAAGTCAATCTGATAATAACAATCATATGAAATCATTGATTTCAGCGATTCCAAAAAAAACAAATAACAATGATAACAATGGAAAACATCAAAAACATCATCATCAACCGTTAAACGTAATATTTGTTTGTAAATATGATATAAGTCCATCGCACTTATATTCACATCTACCTATTATGGTGTGTTTAGAAGGAAAAGTTTTACTTGTACAATTACCCATCAATTCGATCAACAAAATTTCTAATAATATTCATATTAAAAGATGTTGTTGTATTGGTGTAAAGGTATAGTATATGTACTATGAATTTTTAAATATTTTTTTTTAAATTTTATTACAATACTAATTATTATTTACAATAAGGATAATTCAAAAAAAGAGTTTAGCAAGTTATTTAATTTGATTAATGAAGGTCAAATAAAACCCATAAAAGCATCTTGGTTGAAACCATTTGATCAAGAAATAAATAATGGTGACGATAATCAAGAGGATAAAGAACAATTGTTATTATTAAATAAAAAACGTAAATTAGAAGAAGAAGACTTTAATTCTAATCTCGATTCTAATAATATTAATACCACAATACCGGTAACAGCGACAGCAACAGTAGTAAATTCTTCTTCCACCACAACCACCAATAACACTAAAGAAGATTTCAGTACGAGAAAGAAGGTGAAATACATTCCAACAAATATTAAGCAGCTTTTTAATGCTACATCAAATGATAATAAAGAAAAAAAGAAAGAAAGAAAATTAAAATATAAAGAATTAAAAAAATTTAATAAAAATAAAAATTCCAAATAAAAAAGTCTAAAAAAATATTTATTTGTTTCTATTAATTTAAATTATTAATTTACATCTATATATTTAACCATTTATCTATTTTCACAATATAATTTAAGAGGAAGAAATAATTCTTTGGATCACCTATTTATATATATATATATATATTGAAATTAATTAATATTTTTTTTGATATCAATTAGAATAAAATAAAAAAATTATCTTACCGAATTCTCTAATGGCAAAGGATCTTCAACACATCTTCTGAAAGCATTTGAAGTTAATTCTTGTAACATTGTATTTATTAATCTGATATATATAAATACATACAAAATTAATAGATGTAATGATAATAATAATAAGGAATAATTTATTCCTTGATTCATTCATTGTTATTACCTTTCATCATCAATAAATTTCCAAAATTTTATTCTAACAAATTCAGAATCAAGTTGAATTTGTTGAAATGATCGATTTGTCAATAATTGTAGTCTAATCATTTCAACCCATTCCTTCATAGCAAAAAAAATTGTTAATAATTATGATAGAAATTGCCTTAAAATTTTTTTGCTCACCAAAAAAAAATTTTATAATTTACCTTTAATAAAATTTTAATTAATCCCATCATAACACCATTCCTATTCATTTCCACAATACCAAATATTTCTATCCTATCACTAAATAATTTATCAATATGAGAAATCAAATGTATTGAGCTATTATTAAAGGTGTTATTTGGTGAAGTAGCTGTTGCTTTAAGACTATTGACATTGGTGTTGTTGTTGATTGAGTTGACTGAATTTTTTGATGAATTTGAATTGGAATAATGTGAAGATTTCTTGATTGAATTTATACTTAAGAGATTTTGATCTATAAATTAAATTTTTTTTTAAAAAAATAAAAATGTTTAGAGGCAAAAAATCAATATTTTCTTTTTCCCCTTCCAACAAAAAAATTTTTTTATACCTTCCAAATTTTTATTTTCAATAATTTCTTCTATTCCTTCATCACCTTCACATACTATTTTAACATCTTTTTCAATGATTGATAAACTTGTTAATATTTCATGCCAAATAGGTGATACCTTATTGATTCCTAAAGAAGGAGATATTAATGCCAACGATTGATTATCATCATTATCATTATTGGCTAACGTAGATGTAGATGACGGTGGAGATGGCAATGGCGATAAATAAAATTTTCTTATTATGAAGGCAATTTCATTTCCAACTATTTCAACATATTTTTCCAAGAATTTCTATTTAAAAAATATATATTAATATTTTGTTTAATAAAAATTTTTTAAAAAAAAAACCAAATTCTTCCTTTAACCTGGGAATTATCTTTAGAAATTTCAATTATTTCCCTGAAATCTTGTGACAAAACTTTTGAAATGTAATTATTATCAGAATCGTTATGATTGCCATTTTCTTTGTTATTATTAAAGGGATTAAATCTTATTTCATATAATTCATTGCTAATAAAAATGTTGTTGTTGTTGTTGTTATTAATGTCATTATTATTATTATATAACTTGGTTGAATAAATTATATAAATTTGGTTTATTATAGATTCACTAAAATCTAATAGTACACGAGACATTAATAGTAATAAATTTGGTCTATTTGAAATTTTCGGTGAGCCCAATTTCTAAAGAAAAATTTAAAACTCGATAATTAATAATAATGATAATAGTAGCAGTTTTCTAAATATAAATAAAATGTTGTAAATATATGTGCTTTACCGTCATATCATTAATTAATAAAACCCAGAATTTTTTAATTTCAATTTTTAATTTTAATAACATATTTTGTGATTCAATCTTTTCATCTACTATAATTATATCAGATTTAACATACTCCTAAAGGACAAATATTTGGAAACGCAATAATAATAATTAGTACTATAATAATTAATATAATTATTTAAACTGCCAACTATATTTTTTTACCTCTAATAACCTTAAACAAGTTCCAGTTAAATAATTTATAAGCTCATATTCCATTTTATTTATAAACTTTAATAAATTGATATTATCATCACTATCACCACTATCGTTATAATTAATAAATTTATCTAAAATAACAAATATTTTTTATTAATAAAAAAAAAAATTACCAATAAATAATAATATATTATTTTTTGTTTTACTCACCAATAATAATATCGTTAGCTCTTCCAAATAATTTACTAAATACTTTAGTTTTATTTTCATTGATCATAATAATAACTCTATCATTTAAGTTACCAATACTAGATAATCCATTACATGATTTTATTGAACAATAAAGGTTGTTTAATAAATTGAGGTGTATTGTTGGTTTAAAATCATTTAAATTATTCTGTGTAGAAGAAAAAAGATATTATATATATAATATGATGTTTAATATTATTATAAAATTAATAATAATAAACTTACTGGCAACTCTAATAAATTTTTTACAATATCAAAATATTCATTTGATATTAAATTAACGAATTCCGATAAATCTCTTTTAATCTCTTCTCTATCCTGAAAAATCAATTAATATTAATATCAATATCAGTATTATTTTTATTCCTGATTAATTAGATTCGAAAAGATTACCTCAATTTCTAAATTTGGAGAAATTAATTTCATTATATCATTAATATTATTAATATTAATAATATTTCTTGCTGCCGGGGATTTTGCTGGAGATTTAATAAAATCTTTTTTTATTGGTGATAAAAATATTTCATTAAAAGACCCTACAAATTTATTTAACTCTTTTAAAAATCCTTCATTCAAAATTTTTAATTTATTTATAACAATATTTGACTTTTGATCTTTTTTATTTTCTTCTTTTACTTCTTCCTGATCCTGATCCTCATCCTCGTCCTCTTTGTCCTCCTCTGCTTCTATTACTTCTTTTTTTATATTGTTATTTATACTATTGATTGATTCATCAGAAAGTTTTTCGATTGTTGAAATTAAAAGTTTTGATAAATAATTTGTTTGACTAGAGAAAGTTTTTTAAAAAATTTTTTGTAAGCATATGCATTAAATATAACAAGTAATAATAATAATTATTATAATTATATTACAGTTTTAAATATTCTTTTGCCAATTCTTTTGTAGATTCTTTTAATGCCAATAATAATATCATATTTTCCATTATTTCATCTCCAGTTGCCTAAAAACAACAATCACATTATTATTGATTAATCTTTCACAATACAATATAACATCATAACATATTATATATATTATTAGAAAACAATAACAACTAATGATGGAAACCAAATAAAAAATACTTACATCATTTTTTGTCATATTTTCTCTTATATTTTTAATAATTTTTTTCATAATTTCTTTACATTCATTTTCAATTGAATTGAAAATTGTTAATTCTCTATAATATTCTAATATCTTTGTGGTTTTTACATAATAAATTACTGCTTTTGAATATGACTTTTGATTTAAACATTGATTTAATCTTGTTGGTAATTCAAAAACAAATTGAACCTATTAAAATAAAATAACATAAAAATCAATAAAAAAAAAATGTAAATATATTAAATATATTATGTTTATGTTTGCTGAATTTTTAAGAAACCTTTTTTAATAGATCATGGACTCTAGTTAATTGAATCATCCTATCTCTTCTAGAACTTAAAGATGAATTTAATGAATCACATATATTTGTAATATTTGACATATTACTTGAAAGTTGTTTTATTCCCGATTCCATATTTTCAACATTATTTTTCATCTATAAAAAATTTATTTTAATGGTAACAGTAATGATCATTTATTATGATTATTGTTTATAATAATTATTAATTATTACCACCATTAATTATTATTGCTACTAATGATAAATACCTTTTCAATAGTATCAGTCGCACTAATAAATTTACTATAATTCTCATAAACCAAAGTTTTCATATCTCCATTAAGCTGTCTAATTTCTAATTAGAAAAAATTTCATAAATATATATATATATATATATTACTCAAATACAACTCCAGATCAATTCCTTTCAATTTATTTATTTACCTGTGATCAAATCATTATCTCTTTGCATTAATTCATTTAAATGTTTTTCACCAAGTAAACTTTTAAAATATTTCTCTGTATCAAATCCAGCATTATCTATATATAAACACATGTATTTGATGTAATTGGTGTTTCATTCCCTTAATTACTATTCTCGCTTCTCAATAATTTATTAATTGATTTGATTTTACTCACCTATATCTAAAGGATCGGCTTTTTTGCCATCTGGACCTAATCCATAATAATTTCTTAATAAATTTTTTGCTCTACCTCTATTAGGTAATGTTAATGTTATTGGTGCTAAAGTTGTATTAGATATAGAAAGATTGCGTTGTTGTTGTATTATTTTTTTTTGATTTTGATTTTGTTCTTGGCTTTGCATACTTGATTCTTTTTTTTAAAAATCTTTTTTATTATTATGATATTTAATTCGTGAAACGTATATGGAAAAGAAATAATTGTTGAATTGTTATACAAAGTTTTATGTCAATATCAAACTTGCAGGAAAAATGTCAAAAAACATGAAAATCAAAAAAAAAAGGAAAACTATGTAGGATGTTGAGATTTCGAAGGGTTTCTCGTAATATTTTATACGGGCCATGCTGCAACAAAACCAGACTAAGTGAACATTTGCGTTACCAAAAGATCACAGGGTTCTTATTATGATTGTGATTTTTCTATTTCTTGTTCCGCATTCGTCATCATATTGTCCAGAAGGGAAAACATTGTTTGAATAAAATTACACATTCAAAACAAAAATTTCATAATTATTACATTCAAGGCTATTATAGATTTCTGCCAAATGCAATTGCTATAATGGTTTTTTATCTTATAATATACTAAAACTTTCTTCTTGGTTGAATCATAAAGCATTACTGTTGTTATTTAGCCCTTTCCTTGAATGTGAATATCTTTGTCCCCACTATTGTATCATGTCTATTCCAATATTCATAATGATTATACAATATGCAATTGATTTGATTGCATCTCTAAGTAACAATAATACTAAGACTATCCAGAATGAACCTTTTAAGTGAAAAAGTCACTTGACAAGTAAAATCGGCAACGAGTCTATCAGATATATACAATACATTATATTTAAATTCCTTTTCTTTATATTTGAGGAAAAAAAAATATTAGGAGAAAGGAACATCCATTGAAATATATTTATGATAATGAATTGTTGATTCTAGAATTGGTTGCAGCTAAGCTCGTGACTAGATTTTGATAGATTTTGACCACAACTGCAACTAGAGTTCATTTGGGAGAGTCAACCAGAATCAGTCATGAATTCATTACTTGAGAAAAGGTAGCAATTATTTAATAACGAAATTTATTCAATTCGTGAAGCATTTGTGTATTTCCGATTTTTATTATTCGCGAACAAAGCAATTCATTATTTATTATTAATTAATTAAACCCATAGGATGACATAAAACAAATTAATGGAGAAAAACATATATACTGACATCCATAATGGGAGGATAAAGGACCAACGATTCTAGGATCAATTTTCAATTTATAAATTTTTTTATTTCGAATCATAAAAATAAAAAATAAATAAACTTTTAAAATATTATAAAATCATATAGAACCTATATTTTATGTAAAAAACATTGTTTAATTGTATATAATAATTAATAAAAGAAAAACATCAAAAAAAATAAATATTGTATTTGGATAAAAAAACTAAATACTATTCAAAAGTTGTAAAATTTTCATCGTTCGTTGACGAAATAGATCCGTTTACATGAAGGATTATCATTACAAATACTATTGTGAAAATTGATAATGGTGATGGTGGTGATGGTGGTGGTGATGTGGTGGTGATGGTGGTGATGATGGTGGTGATGATGATGATGGTGGTGGTTGTGGTGGTTGTGGTGGTTGTGATATAGGAGGCTCGTTGTTTTTATTATCACTGTATTTGTTGTTGTTGTCATTATCGTTGTTGTAGTTGTTATTCATTAAAAAAAGAGGATCTGAGTGAAAAAATTCAATTACACTGTCGTAGTTATTCGCCGAATTAATATTAAGAAGATTTTCTGTATCAAAAGATTCATTG